TGAGACAATGAATATTTTTTAACCAGTAAGAGGTTTTTATTTAATAGTATTTTTGGACAAAAAATCACAATATATCACCTTGCTTACAGCATTGAAATATATCGGGATATATCGTATCGTGACCCCTCTGTCATGATACTGTATGTATCGTATCACCAAATTGTTACCAATACACAGCTGTATTTATAAGGTGACAAAAATATATTTTATCAGTCTATGAACTGTCTCATGAACCTTTGCTGCTTGAGCAGACTTTCTCCAAGTGCACAGACTAAAACAAAAGTGGCCCACTGCACTGGCTGCTAGCTTAATCATTAAAAATACAGAAGTTTACTTAAAAAGTATTTGTATTTCATGTATTATATTACTGAATTTGGCCAGCAGCTCCTGATAGATTTTAAACCGTTTGGGCAGCCCTGATCTGTGCCAAAGAACTGTCTCTGGGAGCTGTTCAACCAGCTCAGTGACCTCTGACCGGTTCTTTACAACAGGTTAGCAGTTAATTCACCAAACCAAGAACAGCATTAGTCATCCATCCTATCCAACATCCATCAATATACTCCTCACAGGGTGGCTGTCACCTGAATAATTAGAAAACATGGTTTGATTTTTAATAAACGTGTTTTGTCCTCACCTGAGCCTTCTTCTCTCTGAGCTCTTGCTGCTGAAGTCGTCTCTTCTCACGTTTTTCTTGCAGTTTCTCCACTTCCTTCACACAGTTGGACTTCCTTCGTGCTGAAACAAAAAATATCGATGATGTAGGGGTCACCTCGAGTGAAGAAACAATATAATTTAATTTAAGTGTCAGTAATATAATTACTTATGTTAAATAAGCCTTCTACATACTTCTCATAACAAAGTTATGAGAGAAGTTTTACCAAGGTATTTTCTCATTACTTTAATATTTTGACTGTGCAAAGTGAAAAGTGACACAATAAGTGAACGAGTTCAAGTTGATTCATAAAAGATTATGCAATCATTTATTTACACAAATTGAACAGATCATAAGTACACCTGATTGTGGGGATTCCTATA